ACTTAATATCACCGTAATAAAGTTTAGATTACTGTACCAACCTTTAAATTGGAGATATGTCTGAAGACGAAGGGGTTGTTGATGGCGATTTGGCGTCGGATGCGGTCGTTCATGGCATTGACGTAGGTCTGGTACACCGCCATACACTTCTTGGCCAGACTCGACGCGTAGTAGATGGGGATGTCTTGCAGCTCGGGGTGGAGGGACCAGTACTCGTCTAGAAGGAAAGTTGAATTCCTTATTTATTTTTTGAGTTGATAGTTTTCTTAGTCAATAACAAAATATTTCATCTTTCCAAAACGTAAGAATACTTGAACATAATTACACTTACATTAATTGGGTTGATGTTATAATAAGTATTGTTTTTTTCTAATTTATAAGAAACTAACTGACCCGGCGAACTTCGTACCGCCTCAAAGCTATGCTAAGCTTTGATGCATTATTGTGTACTGTACTTACAATACTTATATTGTATAGCTGACCGTTGTCAATCAAATCAAATCAAATTGTTTATTATGCAAAGAATATGGATATAAAATAATATGTTAAAATTATACATAGGAGGTCCAACACAATCTACCTACATACAAAATTAAATTTAAGAAAGTCAGCTCATAATATCTTAGGTACAATTTGAACATACAATTTGAACTGGAAATTATTATATCCTTACAAAATAATGAGTGACTGCTACAACGTTCCTAGACTTAAGAATATGTATCTTCTTAATAAAAATCGAAATTTGAGAGGACACTCATGAAAACTATGCAGAACATCCTCAAAACTGAATCCCTTGACACACTTCCTACCTAATAGGGTGGTCACGGAATGGAATAAACTCCCAGAAAATGTGATAAAAGCACCCACAGTTAATTCTTTTAAAAACAGACTCGACAAAATCTCCAAGTCCATTAATACGCACGCATCACCTTTCTAAGCTGCTAGTGTGTTCAAGTATATAATATAATAATAATAATCCTTCATATAAAATGGAATCCTTATTTCCCTGTGCTATTTTACGCAAGAATGTTGATGACGTCAGAACTAGCTATATCATACAAAAATCTTAGAAAATTGACTATTGGAAGTTTCGAAAAAAGAATTGATTTCGACTAGTTGGAAAATGACTAGGTACCTAATTCTGTTCGACCAATCACTGTAGCTGGCAAAAATTTAATGGCCAATGGGAAATAAGGAATTCTTTATTGGACAAACAGAAGTGAACTGTAGAGCCAACTTATGTAATCTAATCATTATGTTATCTTATGAGTACATACCAAGTATGAGCAGTAGTTCCTGTGCACGGCCCAGCGCGAACACGGGGATGAGGCACCGTCCCCCGCGCTGTACTATCTCGCTGACGAGCCCCGTGAACCTGCTCTCACGCTCCTCACGCTTCTCGTGGATGTGGGTGCCGTATGTAGATTCCTACACAACAATACACATTATAATATGATGCCATCTTTATATATACCTACAGGCATGGTGAGACAGCATGTGACTTAATATAAAATCTTTTTGGTATTAATAACCGTTTATATGCCGGAAGGACGGATATACGCGAGACACAATGTGTTTTCTATTGTGTCTCATATACCGGCAGATAAGAGTTTAAGTGTGTGAGAGCCATGCTTCAGCTCGAATAGATCGCCTTACCGGGGTGATACCACGGCGTCACAACAAAAAACACAAACAACTGCAGCGTTGTTTCGTTGTGGGAGGCAAAGGGTCGGCAACGCACCCGTAGCTCCTCCATTGTTACGGGAGTCTATGAAAGGTGCTAATTGCTTCCCATTAAGTAATCCGTTACCTCTTTTGCTGTTCTATGACATAAAAAAAAAACAAATATCAAAATCGTACCGTAATCAGTACATCGGGATGCACCGTTGGTATCTCCGCCGCCATTAAATGTCTGTCTTCTTGTCTCGAAAAATCACCCGTGTACAGGATCTGCGAGGTAAATATAACATTATTAAGAAAATGTATCACAACAAAAGTTTAGTATTGATTTCGACTCGTAATTCGCACAGATTATAAATGATTTGAATATGGAAAGGGTAAAATAAAAAGTACATACAGTCCATTGAAGACTTATAGCAACATAAAACTATGGAAGACACATTTTCAAGTTTCGCTAGTGTTGCGACACATTGATCGTATTATTTGTATTAGTAGTGAATTTTTAAACCCTTTGCGACTGCTGATGTTAAGCATTCAGAATATAGCATACCTTAACACCAGCTATCTCGATCATGAACATGGCTGCCCCCAGCACATGGCCAGCATTGTACGCCCAGAACCGGACACCTCGCACATCCTTCTCCTCATGAAAGTTGATGGTCTCAATGCGGTCCATGGAACCTTCTAGATCTGACTCTGTATACAGCATCTGCTCTGTTGATATATTACTAAAAACAAAAAAGAAAAAAATCTTCTATAATATAAAAATGGATCGCGAAATGTGTTGATAAGCGCATAACTCAATAAAGCCTGGACCAATTTTGCTAATTCTTTTTTTTGTTGTGTTTGTTATTGTCAGAAGAAGGTTCTTATCAAAGAAAATATTTGAAAAGTAGAGGGGAATATTCGGAAAAAGTGACCCTTTGATAGCGCGATAGTTGGACCCGTGCGAAGCGGGGCGGGCCGCTAGTTACCTATAAAAATCAATGCCACTTATTTATTTATTTGGGACAAAAACAGTTATACATTGCAGAATTAACAATAAAGTAGTTACATTACAGTTGTAATAACGTATAACCCACACCATTGTCCATGTAATAACATATGAGTAAGAGAGCGAACGCATGTGAAGAAAAATATAATTTAAATTGGAATATTAGTTAACACTTACGGACAGATCGAGGGGAGCAGAAGTCGGAGAGTATGTACTACGACTTGCAAGAAATTGTGAGACAACTCTTTTAAATTTAGGTTGGGACAGCGAAAAAATATCGAAGTCAGTAAATTGTGAGTTATAGGTTTCTAAGAGTCGGCGGATAGGGGCCCGGCTAATTTTGGTCTAGAATTATTCGTGGAAGTCCAGAGAAGGTTTGTCGATAACATTTTTGAAGAAGTGTAAAATCGACATCTACGTTGCCGGTACCGCAGGCGACCGCTAATATGGTTTTAAAAAAGCGAAAATTTACATTTAAAAGAATATTGATGGACTTTACTTACCTAACTTTAATATAATCTGATACGAGCCACCTGTAGATGGCTTTAGTGGCGTGCGTCATGAACACTCGGCCTTTGAATGATGTCTTTGTCAGGAACCAGGGCAACGCACCACTGTGGTCCAGGTGGAAACTGAGGATAATACAAAACTTTTGTTAAAAATCTTATTTAAATTATTCACAACATTTTAATAGGGCCATAAATTTGACTATAGACTAGCCCAGTTTCAATCAGTGATTGGCTTCTTTTGGTTATTGCATTATGGTTTTATAGCCTGGCTCTACCTGATACTAAAAGGAGAGGTGTTCAATTCCAACCAGTAGTTTTAGAGATTACAGTGTTCAAAAAACAAATTCTGGAGGTGAAAATATTAGTAAAGAAGTATAGATAATTTGTATGAACAATAAGTTATTGGAAATGTTAATTGTAAACTTGGTAAAACAAGCTCCAAGTGTTGTCAAGTGTGCCTTCTGAGAATTCACTGCTACAGTGCTTCTGTACCTAGGACCTAGTTTGTGGTTTTATAATATTCATTGTTTAGTGCAACAAACAACATATGACCACATTTTTATTAACATAAACTTTATTTCAAAGTTTATTTTGATTAATGATAACAAATTTTCATTATAAATATCAATGACTATCACAACCATAAATATACTTACTGAGAAATCAGCAGAAGATCCACTTCATCAGCCTCAATGAGGTCCACAAAAGGTAGAGCATCCATTCCTGACAAGCCCGGATGTATGCCACAGTCCAGCTACAAATTTTTAGACAATAGAAGAATTAAAACTATTATAGGTAGTAATAGGTACCATATTACAAATAGATTTATGAGCATAACTAGGGCACTGTGCCATTTAGATCATAAAAAACAAATGTGAAAAATAGATCTAATTCCAAAGAATGTGGGTTGATTTTGGTGAATGAAGTTTACTGATAAAATTGTTAATAGATAAACCTACAAACCATAATTTTCTTTCCTTTGAACTCCAACATGATGCAGGACCTGCCTACTTCCTGACCAGCACCCCTAAAAATTGTGTTTGATTAATAAACAAAAAAAACGGTAGTAAAAAGACCATGCTTCTAACATAAAATAGATTAATTTTTCACTGGCTTACATAATATTTTTTATTTAAATTAAAAGAAATAAAAAAACAGGTGAAAGCTTTAATTAAACTATTCTTACAAGGGTCTTATAGTCAGCTGATCACTTTCTTCCATTGGCACCGGATCGGTGCCCTTTCTGGGATTTGTAGTCATTGTTATTAAGTTAACTTCTTCACTAAATAACCATTTATTTACACTACTATTTTCAAACGCCACGCTCAACTTCACTAAAATGTCTTGTATTTTTGTTTACTGACTCTTACACCACAGAAAAACGGTATCTAACGACTACCAGTTCTCCTGATCGGATGTAAGTTATTGCACACTCAATCTCTGCAAAATAATGGACAATTATATTGACTTTTTCTAACACGAGCAGTCCAAACAAATAACACGACAATAGACATTTACGACAGTTGACAGACAGATGGCAGCCGGCTGCAGAAATACAGGTTATAAAAATATTGCCATTCGAAATTTACAAAACCTACCAACTATAACGAATATAGTGTCAATATTGTTGTATTTGTATTTTAGTAACCAGATTAAGGGCAGCTCATAATTTTTTATTTATTTTTACCTTAATCCATATACTTGATCGAAAATAATCTTAATAAAAATAATGCTTTTCATTTAGTTTCCATTAATTATTGTCGACTTTTAAAGTTGATCTACTGTGTATCTATGCTATGACATTGACATAGAAATGTCAGAACTTTAATAACACGCAGGGTGCGAGTGCGATTCGTATTATTTTTGGTTATAATAATTGAAAACAAGTGATTTTGTGAATAAAAATGCCAAAACCAACACTATTTGATGATGATTCTGATGAAGAGGTTACGCTTAAAACAGAAAATGAATACGCTAAGAAATATGACAAGTGGCGGGAGAAAGAAGAACTTCATAAACGTAAGCACGTTACAATATTATCATTTATTATAATTTATGAATACTAATTTGTTCTCAGCTTGCATTAGTTTATCCTTTCGTCTTTCACAATAATTTACAGTGAAAAAAATGTGAGAAAATCAATTGTTAATTTAATTTTGGCACAAAATATTCTTCAAGACAAGCTCTCTGTCTGCTGTATTCTTAAAAATTCTTTTAAAAAATTGATAGTCTGCACTAATGACGTTTTGATTTTCCAGTTGAACAGAAATACGGTACTAAAGCTTTGAACAGTGATGGGTCAGCATCATCAGACAGTGAGGATGAGAGTGACTCCCCTCCAGAGGTAACCGAGGAGATGGAGACTCAATTCCTCAAGACACTTGCACTGCTTAAGACAAAAGATCCCAGGATTTATGATCCTAAGTTTAAGTTCTTTGAGGATAATCAGAAAAAGGAACCAGGTATATATAATAAGTATAGATAAAACATTATTAGATACTTAAATTGATACAAAATATTTCACAAAAAATTATAGTAATGGAATTCCATGTTGTATATGGTAAGGACCAATTAGTCACAATCAATACTTTAAGCTTAATAATACTTTAAACTTTGACTGCCCACAGAAAACTATTGAAGGCAAATCCTCTGCTACCGTTGGTCACTGGTGACCAATTAGAGTGACAAAAAAAAATCTTATCCACAGATTTTATTTAAAATCATTTTAACTTATTTAAGTAAGAAGCATACATATTTTTAAAATATTAACTGTTATTAAATAAAGTATATTGTCAAATGACTAAACAACAGTATAATTATGTTTTAAAATACTGTTGTATTGAAAGTCAAAATAATTTGTTTTTGACCTGGGAAAGTTCACCTAAATATATTTTGTTTGTTTATCTCTTCAGAAAAAGAAACAAAGACAAAACAGCTGACTTTTGCTGACAGTGATGATGATGATGATGATGATGATGGGAACATCTTCAGTGTTGAGAAGAAAGCTGAGATAGCCGAGGACAAGAAAAAAGAAAGAAAAACATCTGAAACTAAGGTTTCATATTCTTTCATATAACTAAAAAATACCAAAGATAAAAATAACAAATAATTCATATAATAATTAAGAGCCCATTTATATTTTATATGGTTTATTTCTTCAATTCTCTTAATGATAAATATATATGGATGATGGTTTTAGATTGAGTGAACAAACAAGTTTTGCAATTTTTTGTATTCCCTCTTGCCTTCGTGTAAATACAAGTATTTTTTTATTTTTTCGAGATCATTGCCCAATGATATTTCCTAGACAATATGTAGACTGAAACCAGCTCTATAATTAATTGTTAATACTGCTGCTAAGCATAAATATACCTATTGTTTTTCAGGAGGGCAAACTAAAAGAGTATCTAACAGGCCAGGCAGAGCACTTGGATGATGAAGTGGAGAAAGACTTGGCTCCACTGAAGGCCCTCTGGTCAGATCCGAAGCTTAATGAGGGAGAAGCATTTCTAAGAGATTATATCCTGAATAAAAGGTGAGCCGACATAATTACGCAAACTTAGGTCTAACCTCTTGTCTGCCGGTATATGAGACACAATATTAAACACATTGCATCTCACGTTTTAAAATGTGGGAGAGCCATGCTTCGGCACGAATGGGTCGGCTCGACCGGAGTGATACCACGGCCTCACAGAAAACCGGCGTGAAACAACCACTTTGTTGTTTTTCCCCGTTTGAGTGAGGTTACTGGAGGCCCAATTCTTCCCCAATCCCTAATTCTCCAAATCGCTAATCCCTAAAAGGTCAGCAACGCATTCGTTACTCCTCCGTTGCGGGTGTCCATGGGCGGCGCTCATTGCTTACCATCAGATAATCTGCGTTCTGGCAAATCACGGCAAAGTAAATATTTGTGTTGATCATGTGAATTAATCGCATGTCATGTTCAACATAAATGTTCACTTTGATTCCCAACTTTGTACTGTCCAACTACAGGGCTCTACCTGGATTTGTCAGAAATTAAAATAGAATAAAGTAATATGTAACCATTAAATTCTAAATCTTTTGAATTGTGCCCATCATATTATTTCATATGCCCTTCCCATGCCTACCACAGACAACAGCTTCTCCAACACAGGTTACCACATTGTAAAGAAAATACAATTATACACTTACCTATTTGTATCATTATACACTTACATACTTCTTTAGCTTTAATCTTATTAATGCACCTGATCTTAAATGTGTCACATTAATCTTTTGACAATTAAAAAATAGGCTAATTTGCCAGTGTCGAGCATAGCCGACCATGGCGGTCAAAGGGTCAAGAGTATTCTGCACATAGACTTTTTAAAAATCTTTAAAAAACATCAGAATTATATGCTCAAACATTTGTTCCCAGTCTGACTTTTTGAATCATAATATCTTAAGCAAATCTTACACTTACTATTTAATTTTTTTCCCAGATACCTTGAGGAAGGTGATGTCGGCGAAGCAGAGGACAAGATCAGGGATGACGAGGAGTTGGAGGCTGATGAGGCTCGAGTGGAGGAGCAGGGCAAGTTCGAGAGAGCATACAACTTTAGGTTTGAAGAGCCAGACCAAGAGTATGTAAGTATCTCTTCCGTAGATTTAACATATTTGGGTTTTCCTTTTCGTTAGTCTCATGTAATGATGACACTAGAAATGTTCTCTCAAATGCAGAGAATCTAAAATGAAATAAAACAAAATAATTGTTGTTTTATTTGACATGTTAATACAATTTACAGAAATAAGACAATACCATAAGTTCTTACCTTTTTCAAAACTTAATGTTAAACTTAATCATACATGCCAAATGGGTCGCCATATTAACTCAATACAAAAGTAAAGATACAAATATGTTCACCGTTTTCAGTTAAAACGTTTCCCGCGTACAATGAACTATATCCGTCCAAAAGACGACCGGCGATCTAAGAAACGTCAAGAGGTGCGCACGCGCAAGGAGGAGGAGAAGAAGAGGAAGATGGAGGAGATTGCCAGACTGAAAGCACTTAAGCTGAAGGAGATCCAGGAGAAGATAGCCAAAATTAAGGAAGTCACTGGCAATGAAGAACTGGCTTTCAGAGTATGTTATTTTAGATGTTGCCGGCCCGACCCAGCTTATCTTGAATGCTTTTACCCGATGTTCCTTGTTATTGTGCCCAATTATCCTACTGCACAAAATAGTGAGTCTTGTCTTGACCAATACAAACAATAATGTAATGACTTATGAATAATGATATGGAAATAACGGGAACAGGCCACATACATATATAATATTATTATGTTGGGGTGTTATATTTTCTTTGAATCAATTGGTTTGGTTATATCTTCAAGGCTTGATATTATTTTATAATTGAACTCAATTAAGTGAGACTTTTAGACTTATTTTGTACTTGTTTTGTTATTCTCAGGAAGAAGACTTGGAAAGTGAGTTTGACCCGGAAGAGCACGACAAACGCATGCGTGAGATATTCGACGAAGAGTACTATGGAGACGCTGACGAACAGAAACCTGTCTTCCCGGACCTGGATGAGGAACTGGAGATTGGTAAGCAAATACTTTATTACTTTAATCATCTTTATCAGCCTCAATAAGGTTCACATTGGTTGACAATAGCCTCTCCCACTTCAGTACTTTATCTTAATAAAATTATACATTCAAATGACTGGATTGATATAAATAATCTTATTTTATGTTTAATGTGGAAGTTTCAGGATTAATAAGTATTGTTCATTCAAACATTTTTTGATATTTAACAGAGAACTGGGAAAAGTATCAGCCGGAACAAGATGGTTATGAGGAAGACGATGCAGATGAAAATGGGCCCCATTGTGAAGATGAAGACTTTAATGTGAGTGCAAATATACAATATATTAGTAATATTATAATAAAAAATATAAGGATTCTATTATTAAATATTAGGATTCTAAGGAGAAAGTATGAGTAATAACAATATACTTCTTACTTTCAATAATAGTAAGTAGCAGCTTGTGATTGTTGAGTATTTTCGGTTTATCAGAAAGCACTGATGCTCGTGCAGTCGAACCTCTGTTTGTCAAATGTGCAGTCCGTAAGTAGGGTCAAACGACACCCAGAATACAGGTGACGGGCTTGGAGAATATGAAAATCAAATCTACTTACCATCAACAATTTATCAATTGAGATAAACAGTGTAGCAAACCAAATAAAAAAAAAATGTGATGTAAAATAAAATTTATTAAATACTTCTAGATGGACGCTGATTACGATCCAAAAAAGGCACGCGAGAATCTTCTGGAAGAAGTTAAGAAGACTCTAGGCAAGAAAAGAAGGAATAGAAAAAAGAAATCTAAGCTAGCAGAGTTACTGTCTTCTGAGAAGCCCAAGTTTGTGCCCACTGTGGCAGACAAGACGTATGACCAGTACATGGAAGAGTATTATAAAATGGATTGTGAAGATGTGATTGGTGGAGACTTGCCAACCAGATTCAAGTACCGAGAAGTTGTCCCATGCGATTATGGACTCACTGTCGAAGAGGTAAATTTCCCTTTGTAAATTATATCAAAAATAGACACCCTGTACAACAGAGGAATAAAACTAGCATTCTCAACATCATATTCGATGAGTGATCCAATCCTATAGGTACTAATTTCCTTATCATGGCTGCTTGTTTTACAGATTTTACTGGCTGATGACAAAGAGCTGACTCAGTGGGTTCCTCTAAAGAAGATCTTGAAGCACCGCCCAGAGAATGTGGAGAAAGGAGACGCCAGAAACTACGCACAGAAAGCAGCTGATGTACGACTCAAAAAGAAAATATTGCCCAGTCTGTTCAAAGACTTGCCAGAGTAAGTTTACTATTTTGCACCTAGATAAATATAATATAATACAATTGTGACTATTAAGTCTTATACAATATTGCATTAACTTTCAGGGACCCAGACATAGTAGTTCCAATAGAAGAAACGAAAAAGAAAAAAAAGAAGAAAAAGAACAAACGAAAGAGCACAGAAGATACAAATACAGAGGCAGTTGAACAAGAGGCAGCAACATCACACCAAGATGGCGAAGTTGAACATCACGATGAGGACAGCCCACCACAACCTAAAAAGAAAAAGAAAGACAAGAATAAAAACAATTCAGTGCAGGAAGCAAATGACGAAGAGAAAGAAGTAAAAGCAGAAGAGAATGGAGATGTAAAACAAAAGAAAAAGAAGAAGAAACACAAAGATGGGTTTGTTGTTGAACCTGTGGATCATGCTGAGCCTAGTCAACTGAGTACTGAAAACCAAGAAAGTAGCAGTGAGACAAAAACTAAAAAACCGAAACCAGAAAACTCTACATTGCCAAATAATAATACCGAAACTCCCAAAGCAAATAAAAAAGCAGATTCTACGTCTGGGGAGCCCAGCAAAAAGAAAAATAAAGGCAAAAAGAAAGATTTCAAAAAGATTTTGAACCAAAATGGTAAGTTCAAGAAGAAACAAACCAATAAACCAATGAATCCTCTCACCAATTTGTCTGACGAAAGGTTGAAAGCTTATGGATTGAATCCTAAGAAATATAAAAACTTTATGAAGTTCAAAAAATTTTAGCCAAATCAGTGTAACTAAATGTATAGAATTGTACATTTGTTGTATAAATAAATATTTTTATTTTTATTCCTGGTTTCTTTTTTAATGAGTAGTTTGAAAAAAGCGTCTTTAAATAAAAACGAGAGAAACAACAACTACGGTACGTTACGTTACTCTTCAAGTACATATTCTAACTATATAAATCTATGGTAGTAGGTATCAACTTATTCTTGAGAATAGTGCGCCCCGCGATGACCACAGATTACACATTTATTTGGGTGGGCGACGTCCCGCAGCCGACTATTTAATTGTCTTCTATAAGTTTGGATATCATTAATTTAGTAGTAGACAGAAAATAGATCCAATGGAGAACTAAAAATTATTTAAAAGTAGGTACTAAGTGTGGGAGAGCCAAACTTCGGAACGAATGGGTCGGCTCGACCGGAGTGATCACACGGCCTCACAGTATAGCGGCGTGAAACCACTCACAGCGTTGTGTTTCGCCGTGTGTGAGGTTACCGGAGGCTCAATCCCTCCCCTTCCTATCCCTTCCCGATCCTTATATCCGCAACCACTATCCCCAAAATCCCACTCATAACTCCTTTGGTCTTGCGTAATCATGAGTACTCGTTGGCCGACTTATACCATAAAAAAATCTTAAAAATCACCCTCAGACACACCATCTTATTGCCACATACCAACCACGTTTTTTATGTTATTGGTCGGCAAACAATCAGACAACTTACCTGATGGTAAGCAATCAGCGCGGCTCATGGGCACCCGCAACTTCAGAGGAGTTACGAGTGCATTTCCGACCTTTTAGGGATTGGGGGAGGGGAAGGAATGGGCCTCCGGTATCTTCACACACACGGCGAAACACAAACGCTGTGGTTGTTTCACCGCCTGCCACGGTTATCAGTGAGGCCGTGGTATTACTGCGGTCGAAACTTGAAAGACCTAGACCTGTTGAGACCCTATGACGACCCACTGACCAAAAACTATACCGTGATATAGATGATAGGTACGTGAAGAAAGGGGAATTTTTATTTTTAGCAAAATGCAAGGCTCGACACGATCATTTTTTCCATGAATACATAATAATGTAAACCAACTGTTTTAATTAGAAATAAGTTAGATTATTATAAACGTACTCGTAAGAATAAACATATATAGGTACCTAATCAGAATGCTCCGAACTGCTAAGCTACCAGGAGTTACGCGTATTATTGTAAGTCAACTATAGAACTTCTGCCGTTTTCCCAACATTTCCCTTCACTGCTCTGTTCCTATTAATTATAGCGTGACGAAAAGTATCCTCTAACCTGCCCAGGAATATAAAGAATAAGTGTACCAAGTTTCGTTGAAATCTGTCGAGCAGTTTTACAGAGAAGTTGAGAACGTAAAGGATAATGGGAATAAGTTCATCAAGGATAGGAATGATCATCTTCCTGCCAATACAGTCACCACCAACGGCATTGGAAGTTGTCGCTAAAATGCATCTCCTAACATCACATTCAGTAAATTGACGTATGACAAATTGAGAAGCTTCGAGCAATGGAGGTTGTGAAAGACCTTTCAATGTAGCAGCTTAGGTGGCAAAGTATGTTTGCAAACACAAAAATGAAAAAATCCAAGTGTACCTGTGTTTATTAGAATCGCCTGTTTACGTCTTGTAACATTTCTCTGTATCACCCTTACGGTATAGCCCTCGTGTCGAAGACCCCGTCTGATTATCAGACTTATTGCGCCTCATTTATGGTAGTACATTGGTTTTTGGAGGCGTCGCTGAGCACTCGGGTTAGGTTCTGATCGGGTGGCAAGCTACACTTATTCGCCGGTCGTAAACCCGTGCTTATACTGATTGGAGATCCCTGACATCCGGGATGGTTCTTCCTGCGGCAGCTGGAGCTGGAATGTGAGTAGACTACCTCCCTCACGCGCTCCGCCATCTTCTATAAGAGTATGACTGCACACGTTATGTGTTTTACGGTGTATTAGAAAACAGTCCTCTACACTCCAGACCAGGACAGGACAGAAAAGGTGGGACGGGGTTGTCGGCCGTTTTCCAGTAACAAGCAGAACTGTCTAGAGTAGTAGTACCTAATTTTTGGGCATTGACTTACAAATTTTTCGTTTTCATATTTCATTAGATTCTTTGATCTTGCGTTTGTGACTCCTAATAATCAGGAAAAAATTAAACATTTTTGATAACCACATGGAATAAATACAAAATACTTAGTTTTAAAGTCCAAAGAACTGGCAACATTTTAAAAACAATTCTTTAGTCTTTGCCTTTTCTTTGACAAGTGTCACTTATTCCATAAATTGTCTTTCTCTTTTCGGCGGGCCGTGTTAGCGGAACAAGGTGATTTTCAATAATTTTGTTGTATTGTTTTTAATTATTGAAGTTGTGAAATAAGTGCTGAGTTACTTGTATTATTACATCTAGTATTGTGAGTCGTAATTAGAGCGATAAATATTTTATAGTTTCTAAGATGAAAGTGGATTTTGTGAATATAACCTGTAAATGCCTTAGAGTAGATCATAGCGATTTCTTAATAAATTGTTATGAGTGGACAATTAGGCTATATAAACGCCATGAGCCTAGATTCCCAAGTGTATAAGCTTATCGGAATAATAGGCGTTGGGCACTTGCAACGGTTTGTGGCTACAAACTCCTCTTTACTGATACCACGACTCATCGCCAAATAACAGGTTTTGATACACATGGTTATATTTGTGTCGGCATTTTGCAACAATACTATGGCATGCTTGGTTCTGTCCACGTGGAACTTAACTTGTTTTACAACCTCTTGACGATAACTTTTCAGCTCGCCAAGATGGTGAACAACAGAGTACCGTCGGTATTCTCCAAAACCTACGTGACGCCTCGTCGTCCCTTCGAGAAGGCACGTCTCGACCAGGAGTTGAAGATCATCGGAGAGTATGGTCTGCGCAACAAGCGTGAGGTATGGCGTGTCAAGTACACGCTTGCCCGTATCCGTAAGGCTGCCCGTGAGCTGCTTACCCTCGAAGAGAAGGACCCCAAGAGGTTGTTCGAAGGTAAGTTATGCTAAATTCTCGTATGTTTCACTTTAAATTGTGACACTTTTTCTTTGTTTAAAAATGATAACCCTATACTAATCACATAAAATGATGAAAAAATCTGGCAACCTCTTATCTGAAGAAAAATGTTGATCACACAATTTACTGACCATCCTTACAACATTATTACTAAAGTGCTAAATATATCACCATGTTATAAATATATTATCTTGCTATTTCCAGGTAATGCGCTTCTGCGTCGTCTTGTCAGGATCGGAGTGTTGGATGAGAAACAGATGAAGCTCGATTATGTGCTTGGTCTGAAGATCGAGGACTTCTTGGAGCGCCGTCTTCAAACCCAGGTGTTCAAGGCTGGTCTCGCCAAGTCCATCCATCATGCCCGTATCCTCATTAGACAGAGGCACATCCGGTAAGAATTCATTTTGTAAATATGAATTGAACAGAATTATTATTTTAAATTTTGTTTATATTGATAATGCTGTAAAATAATTAAATCTGTATGATGAATGACAACATCTAAATAACATAAAATTGTAAAACACAGGTGAACTTACATGCTGGCAGCAGCTGTCTGGTTTTGGCTCTTATTCTAAAAGACCACTTGGCTTCCAACATTGTTGGAGTCAATGTCTTGAAATATTTATGAGCTCTTTGAGCTTTATGAAGGTAAGGTCTAGACATGCAGTCCTTTACCAGATACTTGGAATTTAAAACTACCACTAATTATCTGCTGGTATCTATCCAATCACTATCAATCCAAATTCAGTAGCAGTAACTCATGCTGGCCTGATGGTAAGACTCCAGATTTTCAAGCTTGAAAAGGTGGGTTCTTATCCTGGCAAATACCAATGTGACTTTTCGACGAATATATATGTACCTTTCGCAAGTTTATTTTGAGACTATTGATATGGTAAAACGTGAGAAAACCTGGACTTGATTAAAAAATCATGTTTCTAATTGAAATTTAGTTTCGCCATATTAGAATTTTCTGTCCAGAGGGTGTATTTACAAACATACACATTACATCCAGGGTGTACAATAATTAGTGGATCACAGAGGTGTTCCGTGCGGGAATCGAATCCGTGGCACGGTTTCGCAGCAGCAGGGTAGTAAAGCTATTGAACGAACCTTTAGCAAGCACGGTGATTTTATCCTATAAAGAAAAGACTCCTTTTCTTTGACGAGACTGACCTCTGAGTTTGTTTCAGCATTTCTTCTCAGAGTAGTGAGATAGGAAATGTTCACATTCACATATAAATTGACGAGTTAAAGTGCAGTTTCATGGCTTATTTGCAAAAATAAATTCATTGTTTCTTTACAGGGGATCAATTATAGGATGAGGATGATAATGATTTAACTAAAAAATATGCATAAGTTTGTGTAAAAATTACATTAATATACTAATATTTTCATTTGTTGTCCTCAGTGTACGCAAACAAGTGGTGAACATCCCATCATTCATTGTTCGCCTGGACAGTGGCAAACACATTGACTTCTCCCTGAAGTCGCCCTTCGGTGGCGGCAGGCCCGGACGTGTCAAGAGGAAGAACCTCCGCAAGGGACAGGGTGGCGGTGCCGCTGCTGATGAGGAGGAGGATTAGACAATAAATGACGTTTATTATCTAAACTTGACTTTTAATTTATTATACTACTTTCCTGTGTTACAACATTATAAAACTACAAAAATTGTTAGTATTCACATCACCTTATTTAGCTATTTTGCAAAGCACCTTACTAGTCTGACAATTGAAACTAGGTTTGCGAAACGGGGTGATCGTCGTCGTCCAGCTGGTTTAGCGTAGCTAAGGGTTAAAATTGAAACTTATTCAATCAAGAATCGTAGAAGATGCTTATATAGACTAATCGTAGCTGTATATACAAGACCTACACATCTCATCTATGATACGAAAAATAAATACCTGTTAGAACGGCGGGAGTATTCACAGCACAACTTACGATGTCCATATCGACTCCCTTTTACCTAAATAACGAAAATCATACTTTGTTTACTCAAGGGGTCGCAAGCTTTAGGTACCTATTGGTATATTTCATAAATAGATAAGGTTTAACGGGATGAATAGATATTAGGAATTCGCCAACATCTATTCACCCCGTTTTACGGTCCTAGTACCTAATTGAATGAAAGGTACCTAGGTAATCAAAATGGTGATGGTTAGTGTTTGACATGCCATGATGCATGGGTCTCCGTAAAGAGGGCTGGGTACTTGTTAATGGGGTGTTACTATACTAATATTATAAAGAGATAAAATTTGTATGAAGGGGTAATCTTGGGAACCGCATGTCGGATTGCCAATTTCACTGATAGATAGGTACAATGTTCCCGAGTGCTATAGGCTATAAAACATCAAGCTACGATCAAACGCAGCTGAGCAGCGGGTGAAAACGCGCGAGATTAGCTAGTAATATATATACATAGTAACAATGAGCATGAACTGTCTAGTTTCACAACTTTTTGAAGTACCTAGGCATACTTTAAAAAACCTAATATTTTATACATAGGTACATGTGAACCAAAATAAAACACTTCATTGTAACGTGGAATATTTAATTAAATTAATAACAGTTAAAAAAATACTACTATTATTATCAATTAGTACGTAAGTACCTACTATAGGCATATTAGGCGATTTATTTAGTTCAACGAGGAATGCACAAGTGTAAATACGCTTATATACGATGTTTTGTTCCCTTACGCATTGTTCGTCATGTAGGTAGTATTTTTATAGTTCGGTAATTTACTTATGTATAATCAAATATAACATTAGGCACTTATATTCAATCTAAATATTATACATTATAATAAGCCTAGGTAGGTATATTTTACAAGAAATTGAAGTAAAATAATACTGTACATTTACAAATTTATTATAAATCTATTTTTCACTTAAAATTAAAATAAATCCTAGTGTCTTACACGATATGGTTAGATATGTAGATTCAATCTACCTACCTACTATGTAAGATACAAATAAATTGATATTGCAATATAAGTTAGTACAAGTAAATGTTGATAGGATGTAGATGGTTATCTAGTTACATTAGATATCATTACTATCGACAAATTTTGTGTTCTTCAATTGTTCGGTCACCTTGTCTGTGGAATCTCCTCTCTCGTTGATTTGAGCGAGACAAAGGTCCAGAATACGTTCAAGTCCACTGGCGGTTTCCTCTGGCGAGTAGATATCCATGACTGGCACGTGCACGAAGAGAGTGCGGCTGCTGTCTATACTTAGCGACGTGTAGTAAATATATTCGCATAGGTACCTGCAATAATACTGGTTAGGTCACTGAACAAGACCCATATTGTGCAAACGAGTGATACTATGTCCAACGCAAGCGTTATCTCACAACGGTTTCCTGAGAGATCGTGGTATGTATCACTTCGGTAGAGCCGAATTATACATAGGTAGCCAAGAATGTCCTTTTCTTACATTAATAAGTTCACAATTACTTAATTCCTATTAACTAAATCATTGCAGTGAATGCATAAACACAGGTACCTAGGAAGATTGTGTTTATCGAGGATTTTTAACTTTTATAATATTATTAAATATATACCGCAGTTGATGAAATTGAAATAAACCGATGCAAAATTTGATGCTACGTTAAGGTCGGCTCGAGCGGAGTGATAGCACGGCGTCGCAAAACACCGCCTTGAAACAACCACAGCGTTGTTTCGCTGTGAGAGTGAGGGAGGTTACTTACTGGATGCTCAAACCTCCCCCTTCCCCAATCCCTAAATCTCCAAAATCTAATTCCGGCAACGCACTCGTAACTCCTCTGGTGTTAAGGGTGTTCATGGACTGCGCCGATTGCTTACCATAAGGTAACCAATTACTTACCTTGAACTATGACGTGAAAAAAAATATATTTGGAATTACCTAGTATTATTTCATGCTTCTCTGTAAGCATATAAATAGTAGCCAATTCCAACCACATTTTGACAAATCTAAAAAACGTGCATTCTACAGGAATGGGTAAATGGCTTAGTGGCAATCTCAGGTGATGTACCTAGGTATAACATTACACACAATTGCATCAGCAATTTTTAGTATTTGGTTAACATTCTATGAATTATGTTTAATGTTAAAAAGTTAAACTGTGTTTTATTATAACAGTCAATGGCTTAGGCAAGCAGAAAAACAAAATAAGGTTGTATTTCTATGAGATGAGAATCTCCAAATGGATGCTGATGAGATAGTAAGACATTAACACCTGTTTGTATCATTGCTAGCATTGAGATATTAATCTCTTATCTTATCAATACTATGTGCAAGCTATTTACAATATTCCTACACAACACATTGATGAACGATGCTTTGTTATAAAATGTAATAAACTATTTTTTGATTTGTATGTAACTATAATGTTATAATTTTTAATTACATGTTTCCTACAAGTTTAAGCTATTAACTCCAGAAATAAATAAAACAATCATGAAACTAAATAAAACCACTAAGCTATCAGATCTGACACCAAACACAGAATAATATATTTATAAGTTTGTCATACCGTCCAGCATCCAGGGATACTTCAGCTCTGTACCGCTCATCCGGTGGATTGTCACCATTGAATTCCTTGCAAATTCGCTCCACATCCAGTTTGGTTTGTAATCTGATTGCTCCATCAGCTAAACATGACCAATTTGCTGGTAGTTTGTCTAAATAGTCCTTTTTCTTGTAGCCTTTTCTATGTGCTTGCGATTCTAGCTGCAAGCACTGACCAATGCTTGATACTCCCACGTGTATCATCAGCTATAAAATTGAAATTTACCAAAATTAATATATTTGTTTTGTAGGATGGTTAAATTTGTGAAAATACTGACCATAAAAGTTTAGTATATGTATAGTCTATGTAGGAACTGTTAATACTAAATCATTCGAACTGCCTATACTAGTTCTTTAATAGGTAGTTTATTATTTAGATTGTCAGTGGGTAGCCTTAGGGGCGGATTAATTTGTATCAAGTAATCTATTATTCACAAATAAGTAATTAAATAAATACCTACAGAACAATCATTCAATCATTTGTAGATAATTATTTTTGTGTAATAATAAAACATTAGTTATTCGTCAAAATCAATATCTATTTATTTTTTTAATTAAAACTTACCTTCGGTGTATGTGTTTCCCAGAGCGCAGGTACGAATTCGTCTACGTTCTCGTAAGTTACGGGCAACTCTATCTGAACAAACTCTACATTATGTTTCTTTTCAATTGCTTCTTTGTTCATTATTTTCACAGCTTCCCAGCTAGCATTCACCGGGTGGTTTAAGTAAGGGCCAAACCCGGTTATCAAGACTATTGGTTTGAACAAAAAGTCGAGATCGTCACTCATAATGTTTGGTTTTTATTTTAATAATTTCTTTTTGTGCAATAATTTATAACTATTTGTTATTGTAGAAACAAGTTCAGTTCACACTGTTGAAAACAGCAATTCAATGTACACTGTGATAGCTTGTCAGGATTTTGATACAAGATTATTGACAGGTAACGTTATCTTAGTACAATAGTCAGCTGACTGGTTTTTTTCGTTTGAATGTTGGTACCAATTCTGTCACTTGCCATTGATGACAATGTCAATCTAAAATATTGATGGAGCCAGGGTTTTTTTTTATGGAATAGGAGGCAAACAAGCAGACGGGTCACCTGATGGTAAGCGATCGGCGCCGCCCATGGACACCTGCAACACCAGAGGAGTCACATGTGCGTTGCCGGCCTTTTAAGAAGGAGTACGCTTGATTCTTGAATGTTTGAAGGTCGTATCGGTTCGGGAATACCGCCGCCGGAAGATCATTCCAAAGCTTTGCTGTGCGGGGCAGAAAGTTACGCGAGAATCGCACAGTTGTTGACTGCCAACCACCTATGTGATGGGGATGAACATGTTTTCGCGTGGAACGATAGCGAAAAGATGTGGCGGGGATCAAACCGAACAATTCCTCAGAACACTCCCCGTGATAAAGGCGGTATAGAATACATAGCGAGGCTACATCTCTACGCAGTGCCAAAGAGTCCAGCCGGTCCGAGACAACAGGGCAGTCAACGATTCGGACAGCTCGTCGCTGAATGCGGTCCAGAGGGAGAAGTTGGTACTGGGGTCAACGCCAAGTATCCCAATACCGGCCGAGGCTGTGAGGGGGGTGCTCTGAAATGAAGGAGATACGACCAACGGCAGTTTTTTAGCTGTGAACACGCAGACCTGGGTCTCTGTGGGGTTAAATTGGACTAGAAGTTAAGTCTACCCCAATCTGAGATTCTTTCTAAAGAAGTCTCGATATCAGACACAAGCCTGTTTCGACTCTCTATGACGTTTTCCCGAGAAATTTTAGCACGACCGGTGTAAAAGGCATCGCCCGTGCTGTAATCCGCATAACAATGAATGCCACTAATTTGCAACATATCATTGATATGGAGGAGGAACAGAGTGGGCGATAGTACGCAGCCTTGAGGCACGCCAGCATTCACAGGCAAGCAATCAGAGCATTCACCGTCCACCGCGACTTTATTGCTTCTGTCTGCAAGGAAGCTGGATACCCATTTACACAGTTTCTCGGGAAGCCCATAGGAAGGTAGCTTCGTAAGAAGCCCTTTATGCCAAGCGATCGATCGAAGGCCTTCGCTACGTCCATACTGACTGCCATCGCTTCCCCCTTGGACTCGGTCGCCTGTGCCCAACGGTGTGTCAGATAAACAAGGAGATCACCAGCGGACCGGCCCTTACGAAAACCGTACTGTCGGTCACTGAGAAGCTGATGATCTTCCAAGTACCGAAGGAGCTGGCAGTTTATAGATGACTCCACTATTTTCGAGAAGAGGGAAGTTATGGCTATCGGTCTGTTATTTGACGGATTAGTGCGATCACCTTTTTTAGGGATCGGGTGGACCAAAGCTGTCTTCCATAACTTCGAGACTACGCCTACGGGTCGATATATTCAAGTTTTAATCTACATTAATAAAAAAAACTTTAATCTAAGCCGTGTACTAATTAACCTTAGACTCAATTAACTAAAATTCGCCGGTTACTCACGTGTACATTTTGAGAAAAGCTCTACTAGTTACTACCGCGGACGCGGCGACGTCGCCGCGTCCGCGCACGCTGCTCATGAGGAAGAACCCCTCTGTGGTTCGAAACTAGTAGAGCTTTTCTCAACATGTACACGTGAGTAACCCGCGAATTTTAGTTAATTTAGTATGTCTCACGATAGTTATTATAAAAACCTTAGACTCCTTAGAACCTCTAGTAAACCTTACAAACATACTTACTGCAGACAATACCATAGAGGAATTAATGTTGATCAATAATGGTTTCTAATTCAAACAGAAATTACGTATATAGTAATAAGGTGACTAGGTAACTATAATAGGCGGTTATTCGTTAATTAAAGAAGAAAAGTTTTTTCCAATTTCCTTTATATTTATTCACTTTAGATAAGAACGATATTATAAGTACTTAAAGTAAGTCGTGCAAGATTGATAGTAATTACCTACAGAGTACCTAAGTACATAAAGTAAAATATCCCTACCTATTACACATTTCTTACGAATATTATTGAAATTACTCAGTATAAAACATTGAGCATTCTTTAAAAATACTTATTGCGAGTAATAAATTGAAATGCCATTATGCTATATCGTATAGTTATTTATGGAACAATACACCCAGTTCCCAACAGTAGGGAAGTAGGTCCGTATGACATAATATTTAACATTATACCTATACCTATCGATTATGTAGTATTGTAATCAATTATTATGTTTAAATGCCTTAGTGGTGGCACTAATTATTGCTTAATGATACGATAGTTTCGCCGAATCGGCAGACTATGAGGAATCTCTCAGTTGTTGTAGACAGATCTCCATGATGCGCTCGACACAAAGAGCAATCTGATCGGGGCTACTATTCACCGGAACATGAATGAACAAAGTTCTTTGTGGGCAGTCTGGGCCGTGAGCAAGAGAAGCATAATATGTGTACTCGCAGACAAACCTGAAAAAATATACAAGTATTTGAGGTCTCTCTAATACGGCTATAATCACGTAACATGTCGGGGGTCAATTCGAAATATTGTTGGTCCGGATCTTAGAGTGAGTTTGTATGTTTGTAAACGCACAAGAAGAAAATCCTCATTGGGGTACAGATTTTACAAAAATTATATAGATATCAATATTTAATAATACGTACCTACCTAGGTACCTACCTGTAATATTATATACGAAACAATATATTTCTTTAAGGTTTCGATTTATGGATTCAACCAGACCTGACCGAGAAACTTAGATATATAATTATATCGTCCAATTAATCGATGTGTATTAACCAACTAAACACATAGGTACGACATCATAACTATATAACTATATTTTAGTACTTATCCGTACTTAATGCTCTTTCAGAGATTTTAATTTTGGCAAAGAGGTCCACCTATTAGCCGCTGAATAACCTGGATATAAAATAATTATTTAAGTTGAGAGTACGTAGAGGAGCAGATACTTACTTGCCAGCGTCGGTAGAAACTTCAGCGGTATGCCCTTCAATCGGGGTGTTGTTATTAAACTGTTCGACTAACTTATTGACGCACAGCTCAGTGCAGATGACGTCTGGCCCATCAAACGAGTGCTTTTCCTCCTCTGGACGAGAGTTGGTGGTGTCAAAATTAACGTAACCTTCCCTCGACGCTTGGGTTTCCAGGGTTAAAGACTGAGTATCAGGCTTTACACCAACGTGGATAGTTAACTGAAAGTAAAAACAAAATTAACTTGGACCTAAACATTAGTTATAATCGATAATTAATTGTAATTGCTGTAGGTATGATGTGCCATATTGTGTGCACATCCGGGCTCACTTTTATCGCAGCTTTACGTGCCTTTGAGGAGTGGCTAGAGAGACGCCAAGGTATCTTCAGCTTCCATATGAAGTTAATAGATAGGTCCTGGTACTCACGTCTGGTTGGTATTTAGCCCAAAGCTTAGGCACGCATCCATCGACGTAGGAGTAGCGGACTTCTATTTTCTCTCGAAACAAATGTATGTCGTGTTTCTTTTCAATTTCTTCCTTATCCAAAGTGTTTACACCTTCCCAACTAACATTCACTTCAGCTCCAGGAAAAGGGCCGAACCCTGTAATTAAAACTCTTTTGGTACCCATTTAGATTTAAAAATCAATATGCAGCAGTCGTTCCAGTATCGCTAGTGGCGGTCGTCTGTGCTGAGTAAACAAAATTCCTCGTGTATAAATACTATAACATTGACGTAACGGGCGTGACTGCTAACTGGTAACACATTAATTGATACCGATTTCCTTAATTTCTGTTAACTTAATAATTTTAAATCTGCATGCCCCACATTGACAATGAATAACATGTATGACGCACTGGGGTAAGTAGGTAACTACTGGTATTGTTTATTTCTATAAACTTCGTTCTTTTTCCTGAGTGTGACGATAGAGAGTACTTATTAGTCTCTTACTAACTCAATATCATCCAGGCGAACCCACCCCTGCTCCGTCCCTCGACATTATTAATATTGCACACGCAATCCCGGCTCTATAACCCTGGCTAACGTAGGTACATAGGTACATATCGTTACAATATTTAAATTAATTAATGCTTAATATTTACATATTATTTAATTCCAATTACCTATATGAAATAGGTCAGTTTTATTTTACATGCGCAAATGTTTCAACTATTTAATAAATATATTTGAGAAAAGACGTAGGTATGTACTTTCCAACGTATTTAATTAAATATATATATATAATGGTATGTCGTGGTAGCGCAGAGGTTAAGGAACCTCTTAATGTGCCATGACACTTTTTCTGCTTCTCATTTCATTCACTTTTTCCGAGTTACCTACAAGTACCTACTTTCTATGATTATTTACACGCCACTGACATAGACTATACAAAATATACTGGCCACTGACACACGGTGAAGGAAAACATCGTGAGAACCCGGTGAAGGAAAGAGAAACTTGAACTTATAATCTCTAATTATAAGTTTGAAATCGCCAATCCGCTCCCTCTCCGTGTGAGAAGAGGCCTTTGCTCATGTATATTGACTCCAAAAATTAGTAATAAATTTTGAATATTTGCATAATATTAATGACAAATAAGTTTACCTTAAATTAAATTTCTTTACAGCAGTTCAAATTTTTATTTTTTACTTTTTAGTGTAGGAACTTTTATTGCTTGACTTTTTTGAAGGCGGTTTTTTTTGTAAATTTTTTTTTATTTGTAGTCGTTTAGTGTTTTTTTTTATTATAATATGTTATGGCACGAAGTCAATATCGTTACTACATTTCTTTTGAAAAAGTTACCAATGTCATTTAAGTAGGAATACATATCATAGGTGCATTGTTACAGTGTAATCGTTTTGATCTCGAGGCGAGATGATATGATGCATGAAATACTTATGATTCTTATAGTTAAAATAAAAAAATAATCTTATCATAAATTCATATTAGTTCTCGCAAAATAACAAAAAACTAGATATTTTCATCAACAGACAGGTAAAGTTCAAAGATACCAACGCTACGCAATCTATTTTAGTATGATTAAATACATTCGTACATAGAAAAAAGACTGATGCAATTATTGTTTTGTATCAATTGTAACCCATTAAATGAAGAAAACTATTTTGTTATTACTAAGAACATTCAAAATGCCAATGAATTGTCTTGAAGGAAAACGATAAGAACACTATGACACATTTCACCACTAATGTGTAAACACAGTCCACGTGGACTAATGCAAAATAGCCAATACTAGGTCAAACTCTGCCCCTAAAGGTGTGCGGTCGCCGCTCTAGAACCGTTCGGCCCCATCGGCCATCTGTTCTACGAGCAATGTGTCCTGCCCACTGTCGCTTAGGTTTGGCATTTCTTCGGGCTATGTCGGTGACTCTGGTTCTTCTGCGGATTTCTTCATTTCTGATTCGAACACGCAAGGAAACTCCGAGCATAGCCCTTCCCATTGCTTAAACAATACTAGGATACATTATTCTATTTTGAAGTTCCCATGCCAACCTTCCACCTTCCAGCTTCATCATCACATCAGTTCAATAGTACCTTACAGCCAAAGTGCATCTTATAACAATTCTAACAAGCCCAAACACGGCTAGGATACATTAATTAGGTACGCAGTTCCAGTGCCTACCTTCCAGCTCCATCATCATCATTAGATCAGTTGGATGATAACATTTTCAACATAGTTATTTAAGATCATTGGTTTATAGTGCATTTTCATAGTTGCTTAACTACCTTGATTGTGATATCTATGCGAGTGTCAAGTTTCGTCACCCATTTCTGATCTTCTTCACCAGTTCCACCTCATCAAATATTGCTTTTTGACTGTAAATGCTTGAGTGCTCCATGAAAATATTAAAATTACTATATAGTTGCCTATAATGTTTGAGGAGTTCCCTCGATTTCTCATGGATCCCATCATCAAAACTCGATTTTGAAAAGAATGGGACCAATCTGGAAGCATATCCTTTCAATCATAAAAAAAATTTTGCAAATCCGTCCATAAACGACGGAGTTCTGAGGTAACAAATAAAAAAAAATACAATCGAATTGAGAACCTCCTCCTTGTTTTGAAGTCGGTTAAAAAGACAACATCGTGAGGAAATCTGGACCTGTATAATATCATAATATTTGCTTGCTATGTACCTAATGGCTAAACATACTGAACTTTAAAATAAATAGAATATCTTATTCCACCATGTGTGAAGTGTGCGAGCGCCAAGATTCGGTACGAATGCATTGGCTCGACCGGAGTGATACCACGGCCTCACAGAAAACCGGCGTGCAACAACCACAGCGTTGCGTTTCGCCATGTGATACATAGAGATTGAGAGACCGCACAGGCCCAATCCATTCCCCTCCCCCCATCTCTTCCCAATCCTTAAATATCTGAACTTTTTATCCCTAAAAGACCGGCAACGCAATCGTTACTCCTTTGGGGGCGGCGCTGATTGCTTACCATCAGGTAATAAGTCTGTATACCAAAAAAATTTAGGTATTAATGTAGAAGAAGATTATTATTTGTGTAAGTCTTTACAAATCACGAGACCACAGGGTCCCGGTCTTTTGGGAGGCGTAAGAGGGGCCGGAACCAACGCGGAGGCCCTTTAGACAACTTTAAATAAAATGGGACACAAACCGGCGACTATCCCTGTATGCACTATGGTAATGGACTCAAGAACAATTCCTGGTTAGTGAAGGGTTACTATTGCGGATAATGGAAACAAGGGATAATTAAGGCTATGGGTGCGGGTTGCTGTGGACTTTTATGGTGGGAACTGTGCCGAAACAATTTAATTTATACATGTAAAAATGGCAGGTGGAGACTCGCCAGCTCACCGACCTTCTGTCTTGCATCACTGGCCCACTCGCCGCTTACGAACAGCTTCTACCCTCCTAGCAGGATCACTACTCTCGCAACTCCTCTCTGGACGGCCAATAGGGGCAAGCCAGGCGTGAAGACCTGTTCCTCGTCATCGTTCACTCCGGCCAGCCAATAAAGACAAGTCAGAGGTAAGGAACGGTGACTCCCTGTCCCGAGGGCTTATTATTATTATTTAATACTCAATATATATAATAATGATTTGAATTTTTTTTAGACTTTTATTCGCCTTTTTCAACATTTTTGTGATAGGTAGTGTGAGGTACGCATCGCTACATCTTCCTCAAGTCACGCATCGCATAGGAATGAAGATCGCACGCGCTGCGAACGCGTTATATTTACGTTAGTGCTATCTCGCTCGCGCGCGCACCTGTCTCGTTTCTTTTAGCTACTTGCAGAGTCAGGAAAGGCACGTTCTTATTGGACAATCGCGCGACGCTTTTATCGCGCGACTGCCACTACTTCAGCCCCAGTGATTTTGTACTTAAGCTCAATGTATGAACAGAAAATATATACGCTCATATTTCTACACTTCTACTCTTGTTTTATTTCAACAATATTCACATCGCTGCTACAGTAGTAACCATAATATCGCCAAAATTAACGTAAATACTCTACCATCAGTCACTTACAGCGGTACACCGGTCCGGTTTAGTAACAGTGCTAAGGACTTGGGCCTGCACATTGACAGCACCCTCAGTTGGCGGAATCAAGTTGCCAGTGTGAGTCAAAAGGTTACAGCGGTCTCTGTATCGCCACAGAAACTTACTGCCTCTTAGCACTAAGGCGATGCTTGTACAGACCTTAATCTTTCCCATCATCGATTATGGTAACGTGTCTTACTATGACCTGAATGCAGATCTCCTCAATAAACACGACCGTCTTCTAAATAACTGCATTCGATTCGTTTCCAATTTACTTACGTAAATATGATCACGTGTCTGGGCAGCGAACATTGTTGAAATGGTTGCCTATCCGTCAACGCAGAGAGCTAAAGGCACTCACAACTTTATTTACCCTTTCAACTCTCCCTCTTCCCCTGACTATTTATCTTCATATTTCCAGTACGTGTGCGACAACCATACTAGAAGTCTGCGCTCTTCGCACAATCGACTTTTGCATGTCCATGCCCACCGCACTAACTATATACTCATTCTTCTTTCTTCACACAAGCCATTTCCTTGTGGAATAAGCTTCCCTCGGATATCAGAGCTGCAACCAGTCGGTTGTGTTTCAAGCATAGCGTGCGTGAGTAGGTACATAGGCAAGATAATGGTAGTTTCCCCACTTGGATTATAAATTGTCCTCATTATAATGTATTATTAGTATTAGTATTTATTTATCTTATGTGTATTAGTGTTTATATTTAATGTAATTAAATGCAATTATATGTTTATATATGTATATATTATTTTTATGTATGTAACTTAGAATTAATTTACACCTCCACCTCACGGAACTTCCTAAATTGCTTTATATCACCTACCACACATACATATCTGCACTAACACAAGGTTGACTGGCAGAAAATGCTTCTAGCATTAAGTCCTCCGATATGCAATTGTATATAAAGAATAAATAAATAAACATTAAAATATTATTGGTGACATTATTTAAGTGCATTATTCAATAGTTTTATTGCAAAATGAATATATAATAATAAAAACCGATAGCTGAACGTCCGGATTTGTTTCCAATTTGTGCCGTGTTGTGCGCTGCGGTCCTGCGGTGTTATATGT